CTGCGGTGAGTGGGGGGTTGGGAAGGAGCCCAGCCCCGCCCACCCCGGCCTGGGCGGCGGGCACCTTTCCGAAGCAGGTAGACATAGCAGTCTGTGAGTAGCACGTAGAGCAGCTGCAGATTACCCTCCATGTGCCCTGTGCTCATCCGGATCATCTACGGGCCGAGGCAAACCGCGGTCAGCTTGAGTTCCCGCTCTGTGGGACCCGCGTGCACACGCAACAGTGTGGGTGACCCAACCCGCCTTTCTGTGCCGCTTGATGGTTCCCGGGGTTCGGGGACTTACTTTGAACAACTGCTCTTCGTTTTCTCGAAAGACATGGATCATGAGCAGGAGCAAGTGGTTGTTGTCCACCCTGTCAGGAACAAGCGTGAGGAGGAGCAGGCGTCAGGTCAGGCAGGGGTCACCTTCCTTCCCATCCCCCACAGCAGGCTAGACCTGCCATCCCTGCTGGACTGGCAGATGCTGCACAGCCCTCACCTGAACTCTGAGGGGTGCGTCATCTCTGACGGGCTACCCTGGCCCTCGTCTACACCCGAGTCCTCAGCACTGCTCAAACAAGGACTGGGCTGGTCTCGCTTGGGCTTGCAGAGAGACTCCTGGGTTCCAGGTTCAGGCTGGGACACAGGTTCAGGCACAGGCTCCTGGCTGACCAGTGGTAACTGGCTGTCCGGTTCCTGAGGCTCTGGCTTCTCAATCTCCTCCCCTTGCTGGTCCTCTAGGGACTGAGATGTCTGTCTCTCTCCTCTTCCTCCCTCTTCTTCTTGGAGAGCAGCCGCAGGGCTACCAGGAACATGCAGCGGTTGGCTAGGCCCTGGAGGGTCATGGTGGCTGCCACCTGGTGTAACAGTACTTGGACTCTCGACTGTAAACCGGTAGAAGTCCATGGGGGCTGGAAGCCCCTCACTGAAGTCGCAAAATGGTGGTTTCTCCGGGGCCTCCCCGGGAAAGCCGGTCCGAAAGGGCTGATCTGGGGGATCGACACTGGAGCACCAGGTGTTGGGGTCCAGCTGGCCATGGAGCTTGTCAATGACCTTGCTCAGGGGCTGTCCTAGGCGCTCCATGGAGGTGTCCTTCATCTCGGGGATCAGCAAGCCCATCTGGCTGAGCTCTGAATGCTCGCTGCTTCCGGTTGTACTCCCGGGCCCTTCCCCTTGCTCCAGTGGGGAGGCAAGTACAGTATCTGAAGGGTCCCTGGCCAGGCCTGGGATGTCCTCAAGTCTGTCACCTTCCCCCTGCCGGCCACATTTCTGCTGGCTAGAGGGGTGCAGTGGGCTTGCTTCCTCGTCCAGCTTGGTCTTTTTCTTCTTGCCAGTCTTCTTCTTCTTGGTGACCCTGCAACAGCAGGGACAGGGAGGGAGGTGACACTTGAATACCCGCTGAGGGAAACAGGCTGGGTCAGAGAGGCAAACCTGAGGGTGTGTGGTCCCGGTCCCTGGCAGTGCAAGGTGGGACAGTCATGAATGACTCCCGAGCAGACCTACAAATTCTAGGTGACAGAACAAATTCTAGGTGAGGGAGCAGCCAGGCCTGCTGGTGTAAACTTAATAGTCCCAGCACTCAGGAGGCAGAGGCAGGAGGATTGTGAGTACAAGGCCAGCCTGGGCTACTGAGCCAGACCCCATTGCAAAAATAAAAGGAGAGGAAAAAAAAAAAAAGAGCTAATCCAGGCCTGGTGGCATAAATTTACAATACTAGCTCTCGGGAGTCAGAGGCAGGAGGACATTTGAGGCAAGCCTAGTCTATGCAACAAGTTCCAGGCTAACCAGGGCTACACAGTGAGACATTGTCTCAGAAAACAAAACAGAGCAAAAGAAACCTAACTGAGCTAGCTGCACCTGTCCAGGAATGAAACCCAGGCCACTGTTAGTCGGGTCACTGTCTCTCTACTCGACGCTCCCCTAGGATCTGAGCAACAGGTCCTTCCTGTTAGGTGTCACTGTGAATAACTGACACACCCAGTGATGCCTCAGAGTTCCTGGGTTCACCATCTTGGCCCTCTACTCTTTGGTTCCAAGATGGCTGGCATGGGCCTGGCTACGCCACCTCAGGTCCCAGTCGATACAGTTGCTGTGAACTTTAACCAGCCTGGGAGAGAGAGAGTGTGTGACCAAGTGTGAATATGTGTGGATATGTGTGTGTGTGTGTATGTGTTTGTGTGTGTGTAAGAGAGAGAAAGAGAGAGAGAGAGAGAGAGAGACCAAGTGTGGATGTGTGTGTGTGTGTGTGTGTGTGTGACAGAGGGGGGAGAGGGAGAGAGAGACCAAGTGTGGATATGTGTGTCTTTGAGAGAGAAAGAAGAGAGAGTATGTGTTTATGTGTGACCCAGGCTCAGACCCTAGAGAGTAATGCTCCTGCCTCAGACAAGTAGGTATGACAGGATAAAGGGCATCTCTTCAATTGGTTTGGAAAGTTCTCTGAGCAGGCCCAAGGGAGGTCAGAGAGCTGAGTGGCTCTGACCGAGAGTCCCTCTGCTATCCTTTCTACTCTCCTGTCGGTGTGTCAGAGACATGAACCATGAAGCAGGCTCAACTAGAACCAAAACTAAAAAGGTCACAGAATGTCCTAAAGAAATCGCAGAATGTCCACCGACTTCCCAGCACTGGGAGGCTGGGGCAGGAGGAGAGCAAGTTTAAGGCTAGCCTGGGCTTCACACATGCACAGTGAACAGATCTTTTCTTACAAAACAAACAACAAAACAAATACTCGTGGGACAAAGTCTGACCTGCAGATGGGTTTTGGCCCTGAATGGGCTAGACATAATGCCCCGAAATCAGCTATGGCAACTGCCTTGACCAGCCCCAGAGCTTACGCCTTGCTCCAGACTGGATGTTTGTGCCCCTCTCAATTCATGCATAGGAACCCTACCCAACCAGTGACGCTATCAGGAGGGGCCTGTGGGAGGGGCTGAGGTCATGAGGGTGAAGCCCTCTTAGTGGGGGCACGGCCCTTAGGAAAGCATACTGAGAGAGGACCCCACCCTGACATGGAACACACGGAAGACGGACGTGAGAGAACTTGGAAAGGTCCTTACAGGAACTGTGGGTACGACATCCTCGCCTCAGCCACCAGAATAAAGGCCTGATGTGGCCTGGTGAGATGTCATACGCAGGAGGAGGATCTCTGTGAGTCGAAGGCAGACTGGTCTACACAGTGAATTCTATATCAGCCAGGGCTACATACAGAAAAATACTGTTTTCGGGAGTTGTGTGTGTGTGTGTGTGTGTGTGCAGGGGGTGGGGAGTCCAATGTTCTGTTTCTGCCACCTATCTTTATACTTGGTTACAGCATCCTGCATGGGACAGGCGTTGGATCCCTGTGGCCGATCCCTGTGAATTAGGAACTGGTCCGGTGCTGTGTATACAAATGCTAAATACCCAAGATCTGGTTTCAGTCCCATGAGCATATCCTCACGTACACTACATGATGTTGTATAGACTTTGCTTGCCAGTCTTCTCTGACTGGGTAAATAAAAGCAGCTACAGCCAATTATGGGATGTGTAGAGGTAGGCGGGGCATAGCTTATAAGGCTAGGGACCACCAGGTGAGAGAGAAGGAGAGGGAGGATAAAAAGACGGAGGAACAGGAGGTCTCCATTAGACAGGATAGACTGTGAACGTGAGGCCAACAAAACTGCATCTTGAGGACAGGTTGATGGAGGAGAAAGAGCCCTGGCAACACTCAAACAGCAAGTAACTTGGGGAGCACAGCTGGGAACTAGCCAGCCTAGTGTATAGAAAAATAGATCAGGGATTATACCCCAGTAATTGTGCTAAGCGTATTAAAAAAATCAACAGGACTCAGTCTCCATTTTTGGGGGGCTGGCTGGATCACAGAGTTCATAACACATACACCACCAAAGAACTGTACAAGGTGTGGAGGGGTTGCTTAAGCCTCAGAGACGTCCCCTGCCCTAGGGGACGCCTCCGTCTACCCTGGACTACACAGTAAGTCCAGGGGTAGACATTGGGCTCCAGGCGCTTGCTTGTCTACCCTTCTCCCAGGCCCGTTCCCTGCTGACCTGATAACTTCAAGCTCTGTACAAGCGTCTGGCTGGTCGAGGGCCTGGGCTTCTTCCTTCTCCTGAGAGGTCGTGTGCACAGGGGTGGTGTCAGATGATGCTGTCTCTGCCTGCTCCTCATTGAAGGGGTTATGGCGCTGGGTGGGGCTCTTGGTAGAGGCCTTGCTACTGGTCAGGTCTGAAGCAGTGGAGCGGGGACCACTGATGGTGTCTGTGAGGTCTCCATCTGCAAGGACAAGGAGACAGGACACAGAGCCTGTCAGCCACCAGCTGGACCCCAGAGAATGCCTTATCTCAGGGGAGGTGGGCAAGTTCCTCCCAGGGAAGCCTGATCACAGTGGCCCCAGTTCAAGGGCAGAGGCCCCGACCCACAGGGCGTGGCATTGAGTCTTTTGGAGCCAATTGATGGGGACACCCTCTTGTCTGTCACTGGGAACCCTTAGTTACTTAGCCAAGTTCAATTAAGGGTCCACAATGTCAAACAGCGTCTAGGCCTAAGCCCCGGACAGGGTGACTTTGATGCTTCCCAGGGTGGGTGGGCCCCCAGGAGGAGACAGGTTGCATACCTCCTAAGATAACCTCAGAGCCCCCTCTCCCACAAGGATTAGGGATGCCCAGCAGACCCTCAACACCACACCCTTCAGAAAGTGATACCCAAAGTCCTCTGCAAGCCCCACTCTGCCACAGACAACAGGGAACAAAGGACACAGGATGAACAGAAGAGACAGAGAACACGGAAGCATGGGCTGGGGAGCACAGGGGAGGGATGCTGGGGACAACGTGACAGACCAGGGGCAACAAAATGAGATACAGAGAGGAAGGGGTACAAGGGGCTGCCCCCAAGACACTCTGGGCTCTTCAGAGGAGTTTGGCTTTTCTCCCCTAAATCTAACAGCACTCCTGGGAAATAGAATCAGGTACCTCTCTTAGGGTGAGCTGTCTTCCAGTGAGGAGCTGTTCTAACTGGCCCCCTCCAAACCCTTCTATCCTAACTCACTGGACCGGGTAGGCAGGGAGTACCGTCATAGGTGGCAAGTACAGGGGCCATTTATCTGGTGGCAGATGGGAGTTGCCCAGGCAAAGAGCTGAGACCAGCCAGTGGGACAGCCTGGGTGAGGGCTAATGGCCATACACACTCTAGTGGTTGGTGCAAGCACATCTTCCTGGCCGTTCTCTCTGCAGGAGTGGAAGGAAAACACACTTCCCTAAGCCCATTGGAAGGGCCAGCACCTGCTGGCTGATGCTGCACTTCATTTCTCTTAAGTGGCTGCCTTTCCTCTTTTTTTTTTTTTTAAAAAAAAAAAAGATGTGGGATCTCATGTCTCACTATGTAGCGCTGACTGGTCTGGGACAACCAGCAGTCCTCCTGCCTCAGGAACAGTTAAATGTAACCACAGCTCTGTCACGGACACACTAGAGATAGATAATTTTCAGCTTCCCTGAGATTGGAGCCTAGCTCTCAGAGGAAGGAAGCCATGCCTTCAGATGGTGCAGAGGCTCCCACTGGGACAGAGTTTGTCTACCCCTCTGTTCCCCTTAGCTCGTGGAGCTGCTTGTGGAGGGGTCATGAGAGGCCAGCAAACGACCCTAGAACACCGTATGTGTTAAGCCTGGATGCCTAGCAATTCTATACAAAAGCTTAAGGCCATGGAACACTCTATCGAGCCTTGCTCAGGGTCCCAAGTTTGGAATTACCCCCAAGTCCTGCTTTTTCCCAGGCTCCAGGAGACAGCGGGGCCTCCGCTAGGTGAGCTGCCACAGTGGGCCAGGGAACTCTTGAGTCCTCAGGAACTTGGGAAGTCACTGTTACAGTGAATCAAACTGGGCCTGCCCAGCCTGAGCAAGCTGGGGCATTAGTTCCTGGGCAAGACCTAAGGAGGATCTAATGGCTCCAGAGGAAGGTCAGAAGGTCGGGCCTTGCCTGTCAGGTGACTGCAAAGTGTGTCAGGAAAGGGTTAGTGGTTAGAATCAGAGGGAAAAGCCAACGGTGACACTGGGCCTCAGAAGCTAAAAGGAGAAAAGATGTTAAGGTGGAATTCCGGGTTTCATGCTACCTGCGGTCCAACACACACTCCTCAAGGCTGCCTTCTTGGCCGAGCGGCACAGTTTACCTCAGTGTCGGACCCTATCTCTCAAAGTCAAGCTTGCTCACACTCTACGTCACACGGGATCTCCGCTCCCTCCCACTGCTCGGAGGAACCCCACCTCAGGCAAGAAGGGGTCCCCAGGGCAGGAGCTCTTTAGGAGGGGAGTCCGGCATGGCCTCAGATGTAAGGAGCACACATTTCCCATAGCAAACACAGACCATGCTCTGAGTAAGTCGCACAACCTTGGAGTGTGAATTTGTCTCAGCCCACCCATGGGTCCCAGGTAGAAAAATGTCCGCACGATACTGATGCCCAGTGGACAGTGAAGGAGGCTAAGCTGCTTTAAAAGTCCAACAAGAACCTTCACATTGACTTATTAAGGGGGCAGGGCACGCTGTGCATGTGTGTAGAAGTCAGAGGATGCTGTGCGTGTGTGTAGAAGTCAGAGGATGCCGTGCGTGCGTGCGTGCGTGCGTGTGTGTGTGTGCAGAACGGCTGACTTGGGGAAGTCAGCTGTCTCTTCCCTCCATGTGGCCTCCAGGACAGAATTCTTGTGTTCATGTTTGATGCCAAGCGCCTTTCCTTGGCAAGCCATCTTGCTGGCTCTCCCTGTCCGGTCTTTTAGCTACTGCTGGGCAGTTTCCTCAGTCAACTAGGGATAGCCCGAATCGATCAAGCCTCCATCTTCCTCCAGGATGCTCGCGGGGTAGATGGGAGCTCACAATCCCTGAATCTCAAAGCATCACTTTTCTAGAACAGGTTTCCACTGCACTGAGGCGGGCCACTGACACGCACCGTTTTATAACGTCCGGGACTTGGATCAGGCGCGTGGCCTGGTGTGTGTGCCACACTCACTAGTGACTCCCGAGGCCCCCATGGGAAGGCAGAAATGCTCCCTGAGAGAAGAGCTCCTGGGCTAAGGGCCAAGTTCCCTACTGCAGAATTCCACCTACTCCAACACTAGCTGTGGCGTCGTTATGACCACGGACAATGTTATAAGCAAATAGGGAGCTGATTCTGAAACATGCAGCAAGCTTGGCGTGGAAACGTTGCAAACAGGAAAAGAGGGTCACAGAGGACTCTGTCCCACCTTCCCAGTCTGTGCTGGGTACAGACGGCACTGCTGGAAACACATCTCCAAAATCATAATCTACAAAAACGAGGGATAAAACTCAGGGTTAGAAACAGGCAGTGGAGGGACGTCGGGAGAGGGCGGGAGACACGGGAGAAGAGACAGAGAAGAGCCCAGTACGTGTTCTCTAACATGCAACTGTGACCTCAGCTGCCCTGAGGGCCGCTCCTTCCCAACTCAGAGCCTGTTCTGGTAGAAAAGAACCTGAGTTTCTTTGGACTAACCTGGGCTCCTTATCCCTTGCCTTCCTCCCCTCTGTGGCACTTGAGGTAATGAGGCCCTGCCTCGAGTTATGACATCAGACATTGCTGGACTTGGCGGAAGTGAGGTAAGGGGAATGGCACCTCCATGCATGGGCGGTCTGGTTGCTTCTTCAAGGTCTGTCCCTCTGACTCCTCCTCTAGGGCAGCCCACGAGGCCCCGCCAAAGAGTCTGATGTGCATGTGTGTGTGTGTACATACATGTGTATGTATTGTGTGTGTGTCTCTGTGTGTCTGTGTGTATGTGTATCTGTGTATGTGTGTGTCTGTATGTATGTGTGTGTATGTGTCTGTGTGTGTGTATATGTATATGTGTGTGTGTGTATGTGTGTGTGTGTGTAAGCACACGGTGTATGTAGCACAGTGTGTGTGTCCGGAAATCAGAGGACAAGCTTCAAAAGTCAGTTCTCTTCTTACATGGTGGGTTTCCAGGACCAACATCATGTGGTCAGGCTTGCCTGGTGTGATTTTAGCCACCAGGCCATCTCACTGGCCCCTAACTTGGGTGTATGCAGTGCTAGGGGTTGAACCCAAAGCTTCATACACACTAGACCAGCATTCTACCTACTGAGCTACACTGGTAGCTCCTGCAATGCAACTCTTACTAACAGCAAGCCTTAAAGTCGGGCATATGACTCACAGCACAAGCAGAACAAAGAACGAGGAAGGTCAGGTCTCAGGAGGAGCAAGTCCAGAGGAATTGAGTGAGGACCTGACCCCCGACCGCCAGAGGTGAGGCAGAGCGAATGAGGGTGTCCTTGATCTCACTAAAGTGGGGCAAAGGCTAGTTGTGTGAGGGCCAAGGCCTAAGGTCTGAGAAAGCCAGGGTTTTCTAGCAACTGGTCTGAGATGAAGGGACCCGCCTATGGTTCCTCAGTCTCAGGACAGGTGCAACCCTCTCTGACCCATGGAGGGGCACTAGCAGGGACTGCCCAAGAAACTGTGCTGGTTCTGAACCCCTCAGACCCCTCTGTCTCTCCTGAGCTTGCTCAGCCTCTCTGTAGAACCTGCAGGAGGACAACCCTCCCCAGGCATCTGATGCTCAGCCGGAACTTGGGCAAGAGTTTCCAGGGCACATTGCTGTGAATCTCTCCTTGCCCCTCCTTGCATGAGGTTAGAAACTTCTGGAAAAGGCAGTAAGGTTCATAAAGCCTGACGTCTGCTATTTTTTTTTTTTTTTTTTGACTATCACAGAAACCGAGGAAATGAAGATATTGGAAATGGCCAGCTCCGTTCAACTGGGAGATGCTCAGTCAGGCTCAGGAGACTCCAGAGCATGCTTCAGGGCACAGGCCTGGTTCCTTTGCCCTGGAGCCGCTTACCCTCGCTAGATGGGGCAATTGCGCTGTCATCCCATTCCAGGTTGGTGGAGGTGACAGAGTTGAAGGAGTTAAGAGACAGGCTGTCTGAACCGTGGACTGAGCTAGGAAGGCGGTCTTCAAAGTCCAGCAGGTACTGAGGTTTATAGTAGTCAGGCATGTACGGGGCCAGGTCTAAGTACGGGGCGTCCTTGGGAGAGAGCAGAGGAAGAGAGGGGATGTTAGATAGGAACCCAGGGGACAGGCAGCAATCAAGGCTCCGTAAGCAGTCACTAGAACCAGGATTGGAAAATGGGAATCACATACAGATACACACACACCTACATAACACACACACACACACACACACACACACACACACACACAGATATCCCATGCTCTTTTCTTAGGGAAATCAATGTGCTTGTTAGTTAGAAACTAACTGTTCCCAAGGAATAAGGATCCAGTCCTAAAGCCACGGGTGTGTCCCACAGATGTGTCTGATGTGTCAGCAGTGCACTGCCTGCCTGGAGGCGGGCAAGGAGGGGGCTCTACCATCACACCACAAAAAAGAAAGGAACAATCCTCTAGACCAGCAACATTCCCTTGATAGCTCTTGGCTTTAGATTCTCACTTTCTCTGGCTTCTACCACCCAAATCCCGAATCCCACGATGGGGAGTGGGGAGGGGTGTGCTGGAATGAGGCAGCTACGCTGACCATGGAACCCAGGTCCCTGAGATGCTCTGGCCTCTTTGGGGTCGGCATTATCCTCAGTGTCATCTCAGGCTGGCAGTTTCGCTTGCTACAATCTGTTACTGTAGTCTGGAAATACTAAAGGGAAACTTCCAGAAATAATAATTGATAAGTTTTCAAAGAATTGGAAGCTAGGCATGCATAGTGGGACACTTTTTTTTTAAAGGGAATTATTTATTTTATGTATGTGAATACAGTGTAGCTGTCTCCAGACACACCAGAAGAGGGCACTAGATCCTATTACAGATGGTTGTAAGCCACCATGTAGTTACTGGGAATTGAACTCAGGACCTCTGGAAGAGCAGTGAGTGCTCTTAACCACTGAGCCATCTCTCCAGCCTGCAGTACATGCCTTTAATTTCAGCTCTTAAGAGGTAGAGACAGGTGTCTCTGTGACTTCCAGGCTAGCCTGGGCTACTTAGTGAAATCCTGTCTCAATAAAAATTATTTATTTGTTTTTCTTTGTATGCATGATGTATGCGTGGTGGTGACTGGGGGAGGGGCCCTGCATATGCTACAGGATTTATGGGGAGGTCAGAGGGCAACTTTGTGGAGTTGGTTCCCTTCTTCCACTTTTATGTGGGTTCTGGGGAGGAAACCCTAGGGGGACAGGTTTCTGTTGCAAGTGTCTTTCCTCGCTGAGCCGAATCCCTGGCCCCTGGTTTTCTTGCTGCTGTTGCTTGGTTTGCATGTATTTCAGGTCACTCTGTAGAGAAGCACAGAGCCAGAGACACTTGTTCTCACCTCATAGACACAAAGGTGAAGTCCTGAGCTGAGACACTTCAGACAATTTGCCATTTGCTCAGGTGGATAGAAAGGCAGGAAGACACTGAAGCAAGACCATGAGTAAGCCAAGAGAGAGTCCCTCTTCCGTCCAATCCTGCCAATCCTAAAGGCATCCTTTATCTGGACACACAGGTGTAGCCAGGCTTAGCCACACCCAGCAAGCTCTAGACTAGAAAATGGAGCTCTGTGCTCCCTCCCTGCACCCCCCCCCCCAAGGCATCTCACCAGATCCAGGTCGAACCGAATAAACTCCAACCCAGACACCAAGGTCAGGAAGAGAGTCAGGTGATCATGGCTGCAGACCAGGGCATTCCTGCCAAACAGAAAAAGCAACCCGGAAACTTCAGAGTCTGGTCACCAGCCTAGTTCACCTTCACCAGAAAGCCCACGGTGTTGAAGTTGGACATTTGACAGCCCACCCCGGATGGTGTCCCGTTCATTCAGCTACGCCCCACTCCTCTCTGTCTCTCCTGTTCTCTTACTGGCTGTGAAGCCATCTCCAGTGATGGGTCTAGGGCATAAGGCTTCCCAGGCTCTCAGTGGCTCCTACAAACACTCATCCCTGAAGTGTCCCCAGCAAATGGGTAGGCAAGCGATGGGAAGGTGTTTGGTCAGTCTGAGGCCAGGGCAGACACCAGACTGACTGACTCTTCAGAGACCCGCTGGGACTCTGGAGGAGGCCTCAGACTGCTAGCAAGATACCACGTGCTCCACAGTCACAGCCCTCAGTGGGTGACACCAGGCCTCTGTCTCTATGTGACGGGAGGCTTTGGGTCGAGGCTTAGGGACCTGGGGACCAGGCAGTCCAGACACTTACCTGACATAGTACTTCTGTAGCAGACCCAGGTTCTCCTGGAACAGACGCAGGTAGCTCTCCAAGGAGTTCTCATTGAGAGCTAGGTAGAGCCAGGCGCGGCCTGCAGAGAAGCCAGGAGTGACTCAGCAGCCCAGCAGCAGTGGCTGCTTTTCATTTGCAAGATAAAGGCCAGCCGGGAACTAGGGAACCCAACAGCCTTCAGGCCTTAGCCTGTGGTTGGTTGGTCGGCAGAGTTAGAGCACTGAAGGCAGGAGATGGTGGTAGAAAGTGACTTTCTGAGGTAGTCAAGGATGCTGCCCCGACCCTGACCCTGCAGGCTAGCAAGGTTTCTGACCTGTACACTCGGCCTGGGACTCCAAAGGTTTCCTTATGTATCTTGTCCCCTTCACTTCATCAGTGACCCGCCCACCAGCTGTCACATGCAGGGGAAAAAAATGAGGCTCTGCAGAAGACATTTGCATGTCAGCCCCCACTGCCACTGGATGTTACAAGGCAGACAGCAGCTGCCTCAGGCTGACCTGGGCAGGACCTGAGCCTCAAGCTCCCCACAGGGAGAGCACAGCTGGTCTGTGGTTCTACTCACTTCGCCCCAGGTTGGTGGCCACATGCTGTAGCACCTCGATTTGCCTGATGGCCTCTCTGCGGGTGAAATGGACCACAAGCACCCAGTAGCCAGAGGACAGGTCTTGCAATCTGTAAGGATGGAACAGCAGTGTTGGGCCTGAGTCGGGCTACCTCAGGCAATCAGGTGCTTTACTACAGCCCACCTGAATGAGACAAGCCTCCCAGTGCCCGGCTCCCACAGCACACAGAGCAGCCTGCGCTCACCCGTACAGCAGGGCGTGGTCCAGGTGCTCACATAGGCGCTGCAGGACCTTGTCGTGGTTCCGGATGGCAGGGGTTTCATCCTCACACGCTGCAAAGTAGCTCTGTAGCTGAAACGGAGAAAACAGTGCTGATGAGGAGTGCTCCAGGCATATGGCGTCCTGGGATAGCCAGCAGAGTCAGAGTCGGTCTGCAACTGTCCTGCTGAGGGCTGATCTTGCCCAGGAGGTACCCAAGGGCGATGGCTCTCAGGAGCGCTTTGCATAGATGGCCTTGTGAGGGATGGCCAGCTCACGGTGTTGGGTACTAAGCTTTGGGGCAGGGGTATAGGCTGGGCACCATACACAGTGGTGTCTATATAAGTCAAACAAACATAGACACAGACACACATAGATACAGATATATACACACATACACACACACAGCCTGTTGGTAATGCCTGAAGGCATTTAAAAAGATTCCCAATTGCTTTAAAAAGATATCATTTATTTAATGTGTAGGCCCTGCTTGGAGGTGCCCTCTGTACACACCAAGGTCTGAAAGGCTGGGTCACCTGCTTTGATGGCTTTCCTGCCAGAGGCTGACATGGACATTAGATGTACCTGGGGAACATGGCCTCATCTAGGTGTGTGCCAGATTTGTGTCAAGCCCTGTGCCAAGAAGGACTCTGTTCCCAGGGCTGGAGAGGGTGACAGAGAGAGGGTGGGAGGGAGGGGAAAAGAGAGACAGGGAGAAAGAGAGAAAGAAGGGGAAGGAGAGGAGATTGCAATTGCAGACAAGGGGCTTTGAAGCACCCCAGCCCACCAGGCTGATGCAGGTGGGGGGCTTAGCGGAATAAGTAAGACAGTGTGGGGCCTGAGTTCTATGCAGCCAGAGCAGAGCCATCCACTCTTGTCTCCTTCCCAGTGGCCCAGACATAAAATGCAAGAAAAGAGCAGAGGTCCCCGCACACTGGGGTGGGTCTGAGCTCCAGGGACCCCTCCATTCATTCTCAAGTGTTTTCTGGAAGCAGCAGCCGAGATGGGCCGGCCACCACAGGGAGCACATGCTCTTGGAGGGAGGCCAACCATTGGACTCCACAACAAAAGCAGCCTCTTCTCTAGGACCCAGAACAAGCCCAGCAGCCTGGCTGACCCGGAAAGAATTCAGTCTGCCCGTCTCTCATGCAGGCAGAAGGGCAGAGGGAGGATGAACTAATTTACGATGCGGTATGTTGGCAGTGGCTGAAGGTGGGTTTTGTCTCATTTTGTTTTAAATGAGTCCCGATTGGCTACTTTAAATTTTTTTTTATTATTTATTATTTATTTATTTAGCATATATGACCTCTTTATCTATAAAGTGGCCAGGAGAGGGCGTTGGATCCCCTGGAACCGAAGTTACAGGTGGCTGTGGGCTACCATGTTGGTGCTGAGAACCGAACCAAGGGCCTCTGCAAGAGCAGCTAGTGCTCCTGGCCCCCAGCCCCTGAAGGCATTTTTGTACATGTTAGTGTTACATCATATTGTCACACCAGTGCCAAGTTCTGGTCTCTCATTGCCTTCTCTCCCTCTTCACCCCCAGACATAGTGTCACGCTATAGCTAGGCTAGCCTCAAACCCGTGATCCTCCTGCTTCAGCTTCCCCAGTGCTGGGATTGAGGATGTGCAGCGCCATGCCTGGTCTGCCTGTTTTGTTATTTATTGTCACTACTACTGACAGGGTCTTGAGGTGTGGCTCTGACTGGCCTGGAACAAGGCAGACCGTGGTGGTTTCGAACTCACAGAGCCCCGCCTGCCGCTGTCCTGAAGTGCTGGGATTAATGGTGTGCACCCCCACACCAGCTTTTTGATGGATTTCTTCTTTGATGTTATATGTTAATGTCTCCAGTGTCTTTCTTTCCATACTGAGGAAGCCTTCATTTTCACACTGTCAAATTTGTCAGTAGTTTTGAAAGCTTCCATCCCTGTCCCTGCTCTGCTTTTCCCTCCCTGAACCCTCGTCATGTTTTCAGGCTGGACTGGCAGCCATCCTCCTGCCTCCGGTTGCAGCAGTGGTTACAGTGGCATGCAGCTGTGCCCAGCCCATTAAATGGGTGCTGGGATCTGAGCTCAGGGTGTCATGGCTGCTCAGCTCGGCCACCCTTCCAGCCTCTCTCATTTATTATTGAGAGGTGCTGACAACTGAGTCCCTGCTAGGCAAGACACAGCCACAGGAGAGCCTCTGTGCTGGCTACCCCACCCCTCCAGCCCTTGGTCTTCTGTGTTTAGGTCTCTGAGTACGAAGTTAAGAGTCATCTGTACTAGTTCTGAATGGGTGAGCCATCTTTTTTTCATATTTATTAATGGCTCAGCCTCTTTCCATCCGATCCACAAGCCCTTTCTAGATTATTCTGTGTTGTTAGTCTGCTGTCTATTTTCATATCAGTCAGTCCCTATTTAATTGTCTCCACTTTCCTCAGCTCTTGGATATGGGCAGAAGTCCACTTAGCCCCTACCCAGCTAGTCTTTTACAAAATTGTCATTCCAGCCGTCAATTACATTTCACTTAGTAGGGACAAGTGTGTGCATAAGGAGGTCAGAGGACAACTTGCTAGAGCTGGTTCTCTCCTTTTACCTTACTGATCCGATCAGGGGATTGAACTCGGGTCATCGGGTTTGGGGGCACCTTTATGTGCTGAGCCACTTTGCTCACCCCAAGCCATCCTTTCAGCATCAAAGTTCATCACCATTCCATTTTGGGTTTTTTTTAAAAATTATTTTATGTGTATGGGTGTTTTGCCTGCATGTACGTCAGTTACACGGACAGTTGTGAGCTGCTATGTGGGTACTGGGAATGGAACCCGGGCCCCGTGGAAGAGCCGCCAGTGCTTTTAACTGCTGAGCCATCTCTCCAGCTGCATCTTGGATTATAATAGAATTATGCGGGGGCTGGAGAGATGGCTCAGAGGTTAAGAGCACTGACTGCTCTTCCAGAGGTCCTGAGTTCAAATCCCAGCAACTACATGGTGGCTCACAACCATCTGTAATGAGATCTGACGCCCTCTTCTGGTGTGTCTGAAGACAGCTACAGTGTATTCATATATAATAAATAAATAAATCTTTTAAAAAAATAATAGAATTATGCTGAGCCCAGAGACTATTCACGTGGAGAGATAGTGTCTCACAGTATCTAGTCTTCCTGCCCAGGGGCACCGGTCCTGTCCCCATTTGGTCAGGTCTTCCTTGGGACCTCTTGGGAAATCTGACAAGAGTCTTTAGATATGTCTTACACATATCTATACATTGCAAATATGAAAGATTGCAAAGATACACAGTTGCAAGTCTATACATGATTTCATGACTCAGAGAGCAATCTACAACACAAAACCATTTTTTTTGGGGGGGGGGGGTAGAAAAAAAAGCACACCATGGCTCAGCATTAAAGGGGATTGCAGCCAAGCCTGACGACCTGAGTTCAATCCTCCATACCCACAGGGTAGGTGGAGAGAACTGACTCTCTTACGTTGTTCTTTGAGCTCTAGACATGTGCCACAGCATGTCCCTCCCCTACTTACAAAATACATAAAAACATGTGATTAAGAAATTGCAGGGAAGCATACAGCAGTGGCGCAGGGGGCTGAGGCAGGAAGCAGGAGCTAAGCCTGCCACAAAGCGGCACACCCCAGAGAGTTACTTGACTGCCTCTCATTTTTTCCTCCCCTTTAAAATGACTTAAAGGGGAAGTTGGGTACCAGTGGCCCATACCTTTAATCCCAGAACTCAGGAGACAGAGACATGTATATCTGTGAGTTCGAGGCCACCCTGGTTGGTCTACAGAGTGAGTTCCAGAACAGCCAGAGAAACCAAGTCTTGAAACAAAACCCCATCCCTGGGAGGAAAAATAGTTAAAGGGTTTTTTAAAGAGCTGAGCAGTCCAGTCCAGTGCCTGCTGGCCTTAAGTGACTATTTGAAGTTAACTTAAGGGCTGGAGACATGTCTGCAGTGATGGAGTACTTACTTAGCATGTGCGTCTACACACACACACACACACACACACACACACACACACACACACACATGGCCGGAGCTCAATCCCCAGCACCATAGACCATGCCCATTTTTTTTAAAAATGAAATTTAAACTAACTTAAATGAAACAAAATATCCACTCTAGTGGCACCAGCCACTTGGGGCTAGCAGCTCTGTCCTGGGCAGTGTGGACGCAAGGCACTGCCAGCAGGCAGGCTGTCCTGCTGGATGCTGCTGGTTTAGGGGATCAGGTAATAAAAAGCATCCAAGAGGCTCAGCATAGCCGGTGAGCATCAAACAAATAAACGTTAGCTGAGATGGTGAACCACAGCAAACCTGTATTCTCAGTCACACCGATGGCGTAGCCTCTGGCTAAATACACCCGTCAGTGCGAGGATGGTGAACTCTGCTCAGTAGCTAACATTTCATTAGCAGTGGTTCCTACTCTTCTACCTCCTTTTTAAAAATTAAATGTGTGTGCATGTGTCCTAGTTTCATTTCTGATATTGTGATAAAATATCCCGATGAAAATCAACTCAGGAAGGAGGGGCTTGCTCTTGTTCACCATTCCAGGTCGCAGCCCATCAAGGTGGGAGAAACCAAAACAGCGGGAGGTTAGGATGTCACAAGCAGATCCAAATGAGTGTGTGTCGTCTTAATGTGTCCTTAGCCCACTCTTTACACTTATATAGCCCAGGACCCCCTGCATAGGGAATGGTACTGCCCAGGGTGGGCTGGGACTTCCCATACCAGTTAACATAACCGAAGCAATCGGCCAGATGTGCCCACCGGTCAACCTTGATCTAGAAAAATCCCTTGTTGAAACTATTTCCAGGTCATTCCAGACTGTGTTACACTGACAGTTAAAAGGAACCATCGCAAAATGTGTGTGCATGGTGTTTGTGTGTGCATGGTGCATGTGTATGCACATTCATCTGTGCACATGGGGAGAAGGGCAGAGATTGACACTGAGCTTCTTCTTTAACTGCTTCTCTAGACTTTTTTGAAAACAAAACAAAACAAAACTTTCTTGTTTTGAAACAGGGTCTTGTTATATAACCCTGGCTGGTCTGGAACTTGTTATGTAGACCAAGCAGGCCTCAAACTCAGAGAGATCCACTTACC